ACGTGACGCGCCGGACCGCCCGCGGGGCGGGGCCGTGGGGGCGGGGCCAAGGGAGCCGGCGCTCGGCTTCAGGCCCCGCCCAGACTCGCGAGAGGCCGACGCCCCGCGGCGGAGGGCGCTGACCTCGTGGCCTCTGACTCCGACCCGGCTGGCGCCTCGCTCTCCGGCGGGCCGGGGGCGGGGCTTGGAAGCCCGGGCCTCTAGGCCACGCCCCCGGCTGTCAATTAAGGTTTGGGGGCGTGGCCGGCAGGTCTGCACGTCGGGGACAGGACCTGGGTGTGGTTACATAGGTCAGGCGCTCAGTGTCGCTCCTGGCGTCTTAGCCCGTGGACCCTGGGACCTTGCGGCGACCGCACACGCACCCTGCGTGCCTGTTGCCTCCCTGCCCTGACTCTTCCCGTTTGATGTCGAGGCGTCCCTGCTCTTGTAGCCCCAATCCGCGGACCTCCAGGAGGAGTCCAGGGGCAGGGGTGTGTGTCCCCTGGAGACTGAGAGTCCAGGGCGTCGGCTGGCTACCGCCCAGCACGGCTGCGAGCTCACAGATGCAGTCGCGGGCAAGGCGCGTGGTACCCAGCTCTGCCGTTCATCTGTGAGATCCAAACAGCCAGCTGCATTTCCTCTGGGTCCTGGAATTAGATCAAGGACTAGGCACTTTTTTTTTTTTTTTTTTTTTTTTTTAGGTCACAGGCTCCTCTGGGAATTTGATGAAAGCCACAAGACTTTCTGAAGAAAAAAAGGCAGTGGGTTCAGTTTTGCTTGTAACCTCATTATTACTGGGGTCCCTGTAGCACAGGGTGGCCTCCAAGTTAGGAATCTCCAAGGCCTTGCCTAGCCTTGTGATCCAGTATCTTCTCGTGTCCCTGGCTGTGTACCACGTGCGAGACGCCACCTGCACCTTACAGACGCCGTCTGTGGATTCCCGACGCTGTCCTGGGCGCTTGGGCCACTGATCCTGATGCGATGCTTAAATCTAACTTGGAAAACCTAAATTAGAACGCAGTTGCTTCTGTACGTTCACTTGTTTGAACATAGGGGGTCTGACATCTTGACAATGCAAAACCACCTTCCAGAAAGTTCCGGAGACCCGCTTATGAATAACTGCCCTTTCCCTCCCAGGCGAGAAGCCCCAGGAAGGCTGGGATGCGCGCTGTTTCCCTGGTCGCTGTTGTCTGTCGCTCCCCCTCTTCGTGGAGGAGCGACACTGAACCCTGCCCTGTTCTTTTGTCTGCTCGGCCCTCCCGGGGTTTGCTGCTGGTTCTTCCCGGGTTGGCTACCATCCCTTCCACCTCCGTGGAAGGGCGGTTCCCCCTGCCACTTTCCCCACTTCCGCGGGGGAGCGGCACACCGCCGGCCGGCTCTCTCGGGGGCTGCACAGGTGTTCCTTCAGATAGATGTTCCTGGTGCATGTTGTCTCTCTCCTCCTTTATAGTCCTCTTCCACCAGTCCCAACTCTGCTACCCACACGACGAGTACGCTGCTCTCCTCCAATCAGGAGCAGCTCCTGCAGCTTGTCAAGTTGGTGAGAGGCAGCTGTGTAGAAGCTGTTTACTCCTCTCCCAGCGCCATATTGTGGGAGAGCAGATGCATAGAATAAGTCTTAATTCCAGTAACTTAGTCTAGTCTCAGTTGCTCCCCACAGTTGTCTAACATGCTGGCCAGCATATGCAGACTTCAGAGACCACTCTACCTTTCAGGTACTTGGACTATGGGGAGGAGGATGTACTTTTCAGATGACCGTGTCTACTACTTTCCATATCTTTCCTCATTTAGGCACAACTTGGTTGTGTTGTATGGAGTACCCTCGGCACAACTGCTTGGGTGTATGGAGTACCTGTGGCAGGGACTTCTTTAGCACCCTCCCATTAGCAACCTGTAATATCCCTATGTGGGGTGGTGATTTCCTGTGAGTTCTTGGAAGCTTTTTTTTTTTTTTTTTTGAAAATTTATTTATTTGAAAGAGCTACAGAGAGAGAGAGAGAGAGAGAGGTCTTCCATCCACCGGTTCACTCCCCAGTTGGCAGCAACAGCTGGAGCTGAGCCGATGCAAAGCCAGGATCCAGGAACTTCTTCTGGATCTCCCACATGGGTACAGGGGCCCAAGGACTTGGGCCATCTTCCACTGCTTTCCCAGGCCATGGCAGAGAGCTGGATTGGAAGTGGAGCAGCCATATGGGATGCTGGCACTGCAGGTGGTGGCTTTACCTATGCCACAATGCCAGCCCCTTAAGCTTTATTCTTTATGGTAGAAAATCAGAAACAATCTGTATACCCATGAAAAGGAAATGATAGCCTATTAACTCCATGCAAACAGAATTCTATATAGCTTTTCAAACAGAAATGGAAGTATGTAGATTTTATCAACAAAGTAGATAGGGATGTAAATACAGACTGTATGGGTAAGGAAGAAATTTAGTAAAGTCTGTTTCAATTTAATTTTTCCTTTTAAGTGTTTTAGTAATATTACTATGCATTACTGAATAAAAATGTTTACCTCCTTTAAGAGTGTCACACTGCATAAATGTATCCTCTGTCTCTTGAGCACTCTATCCGAAAGGCAGAATCACACACACACACACACACAATCTTCCATCTGCTGGTTCACTCCCCAAATGCCTGCAGCAGCTGGGGCTGGGCCAGGAACTCCATCGTCTCCCCAGTGTGGGAATAGCAGGGGCTTACCCACTCGGGCCATCAGCTGCCGCCTGCCGGGTGCATGAGCAGGAAGCTGTATGGGAAGTGGAGGTGGCACCTGGCCCCAGACACTCTGATATGGATGCAGGCATACCAAGCAGCCACTTACCTGCTGCACCATAATGTCAGCTCCCCTTACGCACTGTCAGGCGCAAATCAAGATATGCTGCCTCTAGAACTTAAAGTGAAAGCTGGCTGGACACTTGAACCATGTCACGTGTAAGGACTGTAGAGAATGGAGAAGGATTCAGATGAATTACACACACGACTTAAATGTGGAAGCTCGGGTAAAGAGGCTGGGAAGGCAGTAGATGGTCCACGTCCTTGGGCCCTTGCACCACGTGGGAGACCCAGAAGCAGCTCCTGGCTCCTGGTTCCAGATCGGCGCAGCTCTGGCTGTTGCAGCCAATTGGGGAGTGAACGGTTGGAAGACCTCTCTTTCTCTCTCTCTGTAACTGAGTTTCAAATAAATAAATGAATCTTAAAAAAACAAAACAAGCCCAGGCTCTGGGGTCAGATGGACCAGTGTTCTTATCCCGGCTTTGCTGTGTCCTCGCTGTGTAAACCCGTCTCCTCCGGCTCGAGCGGGATGCTATTTGTCAGGTTCTTGGGGATGAAGTAAGATTAAGGTATGCCAATCACTCACTCTCTAGTAGTCGCTCAGTGGTATAATACGGCAGTCTTTTCAGCTTCCTCTCCATAAGAAATCAGCCTTTTTCTTTTTAAATATTTATTTATTTATTTATTTTGATAGGCAGAGTGGACAGTGAGAGAGAGAGACAGAGAGAAAGGTCTTCCTTTGCCGTTGGTTCACCCTCCAATGGCCGCCGCGGCCGGCGTGCTGCGGCCGGCGCACCCCGCCGATCCGATGGCAGGAGCCAGGAGCCAGGTGCTTTTCCTGGTCTCCCATGGGGTGCAGGGCCTAAGCACTTAGGCCATCCTCCACTGCACTCCCGGGCCACAGCAGAGGGCTGGCCTGGAAGAGGGGCAACCGGGACAGAATCCGGTGCCCCAACCGGGACTAGAACCCGGTGTGCCGGCGCCGCAAGGCGGAGGATTAGCCTAGTGAGCCGCGGCGCTGGCCTAGAAATCAGCCTTCTCATCAGTCATCCTATTTCACTATTTGTGACTTTTATCACTCTATGTACCACATTTTTACTTTGAAAGGTCAAATCTCCATCTAACCCAGGTCCATATGATGAAACGTGCACGTCAGGCTGGCTGGCTGGCGGCCTGGAGCCAGGGCAGTGACACGGACACTTTTACAGAGGGCACTCCGGAAGCCTGTCGGGCCGCTCACATGGCTTGTCCGGCATCGCTAACTGAGCCAGGGCAGTACTGCATAGCGTGGAATGGACCACAGCATTCAGGTGCCACCCTTACACAGCACTCACATCTTTGTTTTATTTTGGGGGAGGACTGGTTTATTTATTTGAAAGGCAGAATTACAGAGAGACAGACACACAGCTCTCTCTCCAAATGGCCACAACAGCTGGAGCTGGGCAGATCCAAACCCAGGAGCTTCTTCCAAGTCTTCCACGTAGGTGCAGGGGGCCAAGCACTTGGGCCATCCTCTGTTGATTTCCGAGTGTATTAGCAGGGAGCTGGATTGGAATTACAGCAACCGCGTCTTGAACCGGTGCCCAGATGGGACGCTGGTGTTGCAGGTGTTGGCTTTACCCGCTGTGCCACAGCGCCGGCCCCAAGTGTCATCTTTATTCAGGCTAACACCACAACGTACAGTCTCACTTGCTGATAGAATTAAATACTAAATTCACTGGATTTGCAGTTTGCAAAAGATAATGAAAGTTTCTACAACAGAAAACCCATACAGAGAGGCTGGTGCGTTGGTCTAACAGGCTGAGCTGCCGCCTGCAACACCAGCATGCCAGTGGGCACTGGCTGGAGTCCCCGCTGCTCCACTGCCGACCCAGCTCCCTGGATGCACCTGGGAAAGCAGAGGAAGACGGCCCAAGTCCTTGGGCCCGGGAAGCTCCCGGTTCCTGGCCTCGGTCTGGCCCAGCCCTGGCTGTTGTGGCCAGCTGCGGAATGAACCAGCAGATGGAAGACCTCTGTGTCTCTCCCTCTCTCTCTGTAACTCTGCCTTTCAAATAAGCAAATACATATTTTTAAAAAAATCAATATAAAACAGAGTTAGGTGTTAGGAAAATGGCTGAGATTGGGAACTTGACCTCTGCTCTAGGTTTATTTATTTAAGAAAATTACAGTAGCATGAAATGTGAAAACTGGTTTTATAACTTTGTAGCAGACATGATTAACATGATTAGGAAAGATAGTCGAGACTGGACTACAAATATTAAAAATGTGGTTTTTAATAATATAAGTACAAAATCTTATTTCTTTATACAACCGTAATGGGATTTGGATCAAACCACTAGAATTTATTTAAAAAAACAAAATAAAACAATGATATAAAAACTGCAAGAAGGTCTGAATCCAAAGATTTTCCTCTAGTAGTACCAAATACCACAAGGTACAGATTATTATACAAATGTGTACAAATTTTAAATACAAATACAATAGGGCTGGGTTTCAAAGGAAAACAAACAAAAAGCAGGTCCTCCCCAGGATTTCATCAACGCACACAAAGGACAGCGGCAGGACTGGTTTCTTCCAGCCCCACTCCTTGCCCCATCACCTTGTGTCAAACAGGAACCTGACCCGGTACTGCGGCCCTGACACCTGCGCTCCAGCTGACTCTGTCCTTGATTTTGGTTCTTAAACATCCCTGTCTCTCTTTCTGCCTCCCGCATTGATTCACAATGTGCTGTGGGCGAGAGAGGAATTCAGCAGACAGAACACTCTCAAGAAGCACAGCCTGGCGAACCACTGTGGGGAGGAGGCGGCAGGCTGGCTGCACCGCACCGCAGGTTCACCTGGACGCCGCGGAACTCCCTCCAGGCCAGAGGGAAGCACGGTGACCTCCCGCTGGGTCTCGGAGGCAGTGCTCAGCTCTCTCTCAGCCACTAGGAAGCCCCAGCCTGGTCTTGGAGGGCAGGGCAGCTGGGCACGGTCACAGGCCTTTTTGTTCCACTTTCCTGACATTATTGGAGGCCATGAAGTTCTTCATAAAGAATCAGAATCCCCACATAATGATTCCTTTTTGAGGTACAATACCTTAAAATGTAGACGACTTGGGAGTTTTGGAACAGATCGGGGGAGGAAGAAAGGGAGAAAAGATAAATTTGTGTCTTCCACATGCTGTTGCTGGTGGAGGCTTTGTTATTAAATTATATATACAACACAGAAATTTACAGGATAAATTAAGGTCTAAGAGATTTTAAAGAGTTAAATACACATAATTAAAACACACATTCACACACGTATATAAATAAACCCACATGAGAAGACTTTTTTGCAGTTCACTTCCATGTGGAATGCAGAACAGACCGCATCTGCCCAAGAGCGGGACGAGTAAGAGGGGCCCAGGAATCACGCCGGGCAAGGTTTACCTTCCACAACTACTGGGCAGAGCAGACCTTGCAAGGACTTTGTGGCCAACCTACTGCTGCCAACGAGACACACCAGCTCTCAGCTGTGCACACCAGACACTCTGGGTCAGCTCAGAGCACGCGCAGGCTCAACTGGTGGCACCAGCAGCTTTGTCCTTTCTAAGGTAGTTTTTGCTGCCAGGGCTCAAATTCACTCTGCGGCCTCTGCTGAGGCCACCAATGGTACCAATGATTACAATAAGATTGGAGACATGGACGCCTGTATTGTAGGAACTGGAATGAACCCCTACTCAGTTCACCCAAGCCATCTTAAGAACTACAATGGGAATGGTTTTGTCACCTCCCACCTAGGTCACTTCAGGTTGAAAGGTTTTGTACTTTCAGTCAATTGGCCTCCTCCCATAATCTTTTCTATCACATTTCTAACTGTAAGACAGGTAAGGCAAATGGTCAGTGATGAGTCTGGAGGTGTAGCTGAGCTTGGAAAGAAAATTTTAGCTGTCCGTAAAGAGATGCACTTGGCACCCAGACAAGCCCCCAGCCCCCAGGTTACACTGATTTTTAAGGCAGATTTGTCCACCATAGGAGAAAAAAGAATCCCAAGCCCACATTCAAGCCAAAGTTTCCTCTTGGCTAAACCTTTGTCATTTCATCAAATTATTAAAAGCAACATAGTTACAGTCCTATGTATATATTGTACATTATATATATATGTGTGTATAGATATATAAAAATTTAAAACCTACACCCAGAGGCCAGCGGAGGGGTCTGGAACAGTTATATATACACAAACCAGCAAGGGGATAGGACAAGGTTTCTGTCCCAGGATGCTTTGCTGTCACAGTCCAGGCATGATGTAAGCAATGTTGTCTAGTGTGTTTGACTGCAAAACAAGGAAAAACGGTTCAGTTGGTCTTGGTTTCCTGAGACACGGTACTTTGTTCAGGGGAAGGAGATGAGAAGGAAGAGGTGGAGTTAGAGAAAACAGATGCGAATGAAGATGGCATCCTGTTGTCTGTTATGCTAGGAGCTTTTCTGCTGACTTCTCTCATTAATCCCAGTAACAAACAGCAGAAAATCCCTGCACTGTCTCTGGTAGAAGAGCAAACAGGAGCTGCAGGAGTTGCAGGACCCCAGGGCGAGACTGCTTCTCTTCAAAGCACTGCTTTGGGAAACAGCATGCATTTAATAAAACAGGATCGACACGGGTCCCTGGGGCTGACGGAGGAAGGAGGCACCCTGTGCCAAGGAGTCTGCCCTTCAAATCCAAGGAAAACAGGGAAAACTCACCAAGACCTGTTTGGGACAGCCATTCAGTTCAGGCAGTTGTGTGGTCAGACACGCCAAGGGGCCCAGCGCGCAGATGATGGAATCCAGAAGCACTGACAAGCTGCCAGACACAGCCACCATGCCCTGGAAGGAGAGGAGGCTGACTCGAACCCAATGCTCGCTCTGTTCTGGTCGACCGCCTTACCTGGTTCTGTGACTCCTGCGCAGTTCTAATCCGGAAAGTTCCAGCACAAACGGAGGGTCTCTACTTAGACTACTCTACACTGTTCAAAAAGGAAACTTAGATGATACACTCCTTTGTGTTCCAATCTATCTTGCTTCCTACCTGTCTTTGAGGAAGTCACTAACTGCTCCTTCCTTAACACAACAGTGAAAAATGCCTGTGCCATTCCTACTGAAGGGGGCTGCTGCGAGGTCCCACGTGCAAACGTTCACCCGTGACGAACACCTGAGACAGGCAGAGCTCAAGTGTAACGGCTCTGAGAATTCCACAACCCTTCGCATCCAGATTTTTTTTTTTTTGATTTGAAAGGCAGAGTTACAGAGAGGCAGAGGCAGCAGAGAGATAGAGGTCTTCCATCCGCTAGTTCACTTCTGAAATGGCCGCCAACGGCTGGAGCCGGGCTGATACAAAGCCAGGAGCCTCCTCCAGCTTTCCCACATGGGTACAGGAGCCCAAGCACTTGGCCATCTTCCACTGCTGCCGCAGGCCACAGCAGAGAGCTGGGTTGGAAGCAGAGCAGCCGGGACCTAAACCGGCGCCCATGGGATGCCAGCCTGCAGGCAGCAGCCCCACCTGCTACACCACAGCGCCAGCCCTCGCATTCACATTAGTATAAACACACAAGGACTTTCCCACTATGTGGTTTTTGACAGCTGAAGACACCATTTTGCTGGGCTGAGGTTTTTACTCCCAAAAAGAAGAGAACTGGGTTCATTTAAAAAATTTAACCTCCTATGTAGTTCAAATTGTCTGTACATTTGTGATTAAAAGAGATGAGAGAAAGAAATCTGCATTCTGCACATAGCCCTGCCCAGCGCTTGCACAACCCGCTTTAACTACAGGCACTGCAAGGAGTCACCCTAGGAGGCAGCACAGCAGAGTCCTTAAAAGAATGAGCTCTGGGACTGGCACTGCAGCGCAGCATAAAGCCACCACCTGCGATGCCAGCATCCAGTATGGGCACCGGTTCGAGTCCCGGCTGCTCTACTTCTGATCCAGCTCCCTGCTTATGTGCCTGGGAAAATAGCAGAAGATAGCCCAAGTGCTTTGGCCTCTGTACTCACATGGGAGACCTGGATGAAGCTCCTAGCTCTTGGCTTTGGCCTGGCCCAGCCCTGGCTGTTGTGGCCATTTAGGGGGTGAGCCAGTGGATGGAAGATCTCTCTCTCTCTGCCTCCCTTCTCCGTAACTCTGATTTTCAAATAGATAAATCTTCAAAAAAAAAAAAAAAAATCACGCCTGGAGAGCCTGTCCAGGCCCAGCTCCTGGCGTCACTTAGTTTCTGCGCCTGGGAAAGCTGCTGATTCGGCTGCACCTGTGAAACAGCACTAGTAGCATCTGTAGCATGGGTAGGGCTGAGATAATCGTGTCTGGATGGTGTCGTGGTGACGCCTGTACTAACAACTTTGTCTCTTAATGCCGCAGTTCTGGCTGCCTGCTGGGTGTCTTCTCCAGGTCTCAACACGCCACCAAGAGGAAGAACCTTCCCCTCTGAACCTCTGCTCCTCCGAATCTGCGTCTCCACATTAACACGGCTGCCCGGTCTCAAAGCCTTGGCCAGCCTTGGCCAGCCTCGGCTCCTTCGCCCCCATCCTCCTTCCCACTGTCTTCCCTCCTTTCCACTGTCTTCAGCACGTGGCTAAGAACACGGACCTGGAGGCCACACTGCAAATTCAAGTCTCTGTTTCAACACCCAGGGGCTGAACTTTAGAGCAAGTGACAACTTCTCTGAGTCGCTAGCTTTTTTTTTTTTTTTTAAAGATTTATTTTATTTATTTGAAAGACAGAGTTACAGAGAGAGGTAGAGTGAGAGTGAGAGCGAGAGAGGTCTTCCATCCACTGGTTCACTCCCCAGATGCCTGCAATGGCCGGAGCTGGACTGATCCGAAACCAGGAGCCAAGATCCTCTCCCAGGTCTGCCACATGGGCACAGGGGTCCAAGCACTTGGGCCGTCTTCCACAGCTTTCCCAGGCTATCAGCAGGGAGTAGGATTAAAAGTGGAGCAGCCGGGACTCGAACCAGCACACATATGGGATGCTGGTGCTGCAGGTGGAGGCTTTACCTACTACGTCACGGAGCTGGCCCTTAGTCTTTAGTTTTTACTTTTGTAAAATTGGGGGAAAAAATTCTGTCTCAGAGAGCTGCATGTAAATTACATGAAATAACCCATAAAACGCACTGTACGTATCCAGTAGCTATTAGTAATATATTCTATTACTTTTTCCTTATAGTCCACTGCAGCTAACATTTTCTGTCTGGCTCTGTGGTAGATTCTAAGTTCCCTAAGGGCAGGTGCATATCTGACGCCTCCTTGCATCCTCTTGGTAATGATGTTCTGCATACTGTCACCAGGGGAGGCCCTGGGGAAACTTGAATTTACTCAGGTGAAACTGAGTAAGCTTTCAACAAGCATTTGTGAATTAAAAAAAATCTGTCAGGTCTACAGCAGATTATTGTTATAATCTCTCGCCAGTTCTAGACTCTTTCCACTCCCAATTTATCTATTTTATTTTACTAAAGATTTTACTTATTTATATGAGAGGTCGAGACACAGGCAGAGAGGAGAGACAGAGAGAAAGGTCTTCCATCCACTGTTCGCTCCCCAAATGGCTGTAGAGCTGGGCCGGTCTGAAGCCAGGAGCCAGGAGCTTCTTCTGGGTCTCCCACATGGGTGCAAGGGCCCAAGCACTTGGGCCACCTTCTACTGCTTTCCCAGGCCAGCAGCCAGGACTCAAACCAGCACCCATATGGGATGCAGGTGCCACAGGCAGAGGCTTAACCCACTACGCCACAGCATTGGCCTTAGCCCAATTTAAATAGAAGACATTCTTGGGGCCGGCGCTGTGGCACACTGGGTTAATGCCATGGCCTGAAGTGTCGGCATCCCATATGGGCGCTGGTTCTAGTCCCAGCTACTCCTCTTCTGATCCAGCTCTCTGCTGTGGCCTGGGAAAGCAGTAGAAGATGGCCCAAGTCCTTGGGCCCCTGCACCTGCCTGGGAGACCTGGAAGAAGCTCCTGGCTCCTGGCTTTGGATTGGTGCAGCTCCGGTCATTGTGGCAATTGGGGAGTGAACCATCGGATGGAAGACCTCTCTCTTTCTGCCTCTCCTCTCTCTATGCAACTCTTTCAAATAAATAAATAAATCTTTATATATATATATATAGATAGATAGATAGAAGACATTCTTAGAGAAAACCAAAGGACAGCTCTGATTACATCCCTCCCCAACCAAAAAATCCTTATGGTGTTTGAATGGCAAAATATTAACACTGCAAAATGTCCATGAAGAATCTCTGTAACTTGGGTTCTTATCTTCATTTTCTACTGTGTGCATTCCATGTTCGAGTTTTACTGCTAAAATGATGAAACCTATGGTTCATTTTTAAAATAAGATACTTGAGAGGCAGAGTGACAGAGAGAGAGAGGAAGGGAGAGGAAGCGTGAGCAACCCTATCTGTTGGTTCCCTCCCCAAATGCCCAAAACAGACAGGGACAGGCCAGGCTGAAATTTGGAGCCAGAAACTCAATGCAGGGCTCTTAGATGGGTGGCAGAGACTCAGCCACTGAGCCATCACCACTGCCTCCCAGGGTGCACAGGACAGGAAGCTGGAGCAGGAGCAGAGCCGGGCATCAAATCCCGGTGCTCTGACATGGGACACAGGCCTTCCCAATGTCTCAAACAGCTCCGAGGTGTGGGTAAGTTGGGGTGAGAGTCTAGAGCACTCCCGGGCTTCCTGTCATCTTTCTCTGCAGGAAACAGTGCGGCTGAGAACCAAATGCACGCTGCTTTCTTGGCGTGGGGCGTCCCTCTCCAACATTTCCCAGGACGCAGTTCTAGGATCCCTCTAGGGTGCGGTGTGAATGCCACCTCCCTCTCACCAGGCCTCTCCTGACTCCCCAACTCAGTGTCCTCCAGTATCATGCCAACTGCTACACTTGGGAAGGGTGGCAAGATGAGAAGCCGCCACTCAACAGCTGTGCAAATTTGTTTTCCTCACTTACTTTCATTAAATGAGTGGGCTGTATAGATCCATGTTCCTTAAGGTGTGGCTTATAGGTGAACATGAATGATTCTGATAGTTATATACCTATTAGGATGTGCATTAGAAAAGAGTTGGAATATCACCCATGTGATATCACTGTAAAGGCATAGAGCTATTTAAAGAAAACTGTAAGTAAGTAATAGTAAGTAAATGGTACATGGGAATTGCAATACTGTGAAGCCCTATGCAATGACTGCCTTCTTGGAAGCCATGGACTAGAGGGTAACAGGCAATGACTACTAAAGTATAAGAGGTTTCTTTAGGGGCGATGAGAGTGTTTGGGAATTGAGACAGTAGCGGTGGGTCCACAGTGCTGTGAGTATACTAAAACCCACCAATCCTGCATTTTCAAGGGGGAACTTACGCAAATTCTATCTCAGTGAGAGTGTTACGGTAAGCAGACTGGAGAAGCTGCAAAGCTCTCTCTCTCTCTCCATGGGTTCCCTTTCTATAGGTTCAGTTACCCACAATCAACCTCAGTCCAAAAGTATTACATGGAAAATTCCGGAAGTAAACAATTGATGCTCTTTCTGTCCTGCCTGGGACATGATCCTTTACCCTGAGCTGGTATATGGTGTTGCACACTATCTGTGGTTTCTGGGATCCACTGGAAGTCTTGGAAGGTAATCCCAGAGCTAATGAGGGACTACTGGACTACATGTGTGCGACTCTTTCTTAACAACTGCTCGCAGAACCTGGCTTGTTCCAGTTTGTTAATTATGTACATATTCTATTGTTTCAATTACGCTGTTCCTCATGACAAGAATACTGTCTGTGCTACTCAGGTTTCTATTCCCCATGTTTTTAGAATAATGCCCAGGCACCTAACACATATCTGCAAAAGCAAACAGAAATATCTCTGAAAATCTGGAATATGAAAGAGTTTAAAATAAACCATTTTTGCTTTTCACTTTTAGGAAAGGTAGGAATGATTAAACGTGAAAAATAACTAAGCATCACCGAATACTTCATTCTGAAACTATCTTTATTCATTTAGTTATCTGGGCCCATAAAAAAATACACAAGTTCTTCTGACACCTGCTGGGTTTTCAGAAACTAGCCAAAGTACTTAGACACATGTTCCTCTTTTGTGGCCTTTTAAATTGCATTTCGTGAGTAATTCAACTTCCAAAGAGAAGCAAGTGATTAGTTTTATATTCCCACACTGATTTCTTAGCCTAAAAATGGCTTCAGTAGCTTAGACTGATTTCTTTGCTGAAATGTCTTATTAGAACTAAAATTTGCCGCCTGGCACTGCAGGCAGCAGCTTTACCAGCTATGCCACAGTATGGGCCCCTGACATTGCATTTAAAAAAAAAAAAAAGGGAGGGCCGCCTCCTGGGATGCTGGCATCCCATGTGTGCGCCAGTTTGAGCTCCGTCTGCTCCACTCCAATCCAGCTCCTTGCTAATGCACCTTGGAAAGTGGCAGAGCATGGCCGGTACATGGACTCCTACACCCATGTGGGAGACCCAGAAGAAGCTCCTGGCTCCTGGCTTCGGATTGGTGCAGCTCTGGCCGTGGTGGCCATCTGGAGAGTGAACCAGCGGATGGAAGATCTCTCTTTGTAACTCTGCCTTTCAAATAAAAAAAATAAACCTTTAAAATAAATTTAAAAAATTAGCTACAGGGCATTCTACTTTCTTTTTGTGGCACGGTTTCAACAGGATGGTGTAGTGTAAAGTCTAGAGCCCGGAAGTCAAACCCAAATCTCAAGATGTTTCTAGTGCCATGCTGTCTTTCCCACTGTAGCCTCGGTCCTGGCAACACTTAGCACAACACAGCTGCTCAATGTAAGGGTGTGAATGAGTGAATGGATCCCATTACACAGGCAAGCAGCCACGGCGCTCACTGCTGTACCCACCTCTGTCTCCTGCAGGCGGTGGCCAATGAGGCTGAGGGACTCGCCCAGGAGCTGCAGGTGAGCAGCGACGTCAATGGGCTGGGTCTCAGGGGCTTTGGCTGGCGAGGCTGGTAGCAGCATGGCGGTGGGCGGGGACTTCTGGGGCGACAGTGCTCCTGAAGAAGCAGCTGAGAACAGAGGGGGAGGTTGAGAAACGTGCCCACAGTCTTGAGCACCACAGAGATGTTCTTTGTGCTTTTCCCTTTCATGAACTATACCAGGCATTAGCAAACGACAGCCTGGGGGTAAATCTAGCCCATGACCTCTTTTTGTGGGGCCTGCTAGCTAAGAATAGTTCTACATTTTTAAATGGTTGTAGAGAAAACAAAGAAGAATATATGACAAAGAAAGCAAATGGCACACAAGGCCTGTAATATTTACTCTCTGAACTTTTATAAGAAGTGTGCTGACCCCTGCTTCACATTCTCAATCTGAACATCATTCTTTGCAGACTGTAACTTTGGTAATAATACCTGGGTACCAAGGTCTGCTGCTAAGGGCAGCTGCTTTCCCAGTTTCCTACCAAGGAAGCAAACCGCACAGCGCCTCACAGAAAGAACTCAGAGCAGCAGGGCAGTGTGGTCGTCACCTTTCACTTTCACGGACCCTTCGGAGCCGGACGCTTTCCTCTTCACAGTTGTAGCTTCCGCTTTGTTCTGCTTGTGCTGCAGATACTGAGCTTTCTGCTTCCAAATCTGTAACCACATTAGTGCTCAATAGGCAAGGAGGACAAAGGAGCAAAAGGAAGGCAGTCGTGGGAGGACACAGTGACGAGGAGAGGGGACCGCGGAGAGGGCAGAGAGGGGTCCATGCTAACTGCTAAGCCGCGGGTCCCTGGGTCAGCTTCAGACAGTTGACTGTATTAATTTCTGAGCAGGGGATGAGGAACATTCCTCAGGGCTGATGGCCAAGTCTCAGTTCTGACTTTCAGATCACTGAAATGTGAAGTCATCTAGCCGCTATCTGGCCCAGTAGACTGTCCCTGTGTTGCCTTCTTTCCTCTGACCTCCTGATTGGCAACGCCAGTGGCAGGACAGCGATGACACAGAAAACAGAAACCATTGATCAACGTTCTGGGTGAGACACGGTTGTTTCTATTAGATGAACTGCATTTTTTTTTTTTTTTTTGACAGGCAGAGTGGACAGTGAGAGAGAGAGACAGAGAGAAAGGTCTTCCTTTGCCGTTGGTTCACCCTCCAATGGCCGACGCTGCCAGCGCGCTGCGGCCGGCGCAACATGCTGATCTGAAGCCAGGAGCCAGGTGCTTCCTCCTGGTCTCCCATGCAGGTGCAGGGCCCAAGCACTTGGGCCATCCTCCACTGCCTTCCTGGGCCACAGCAGAGAGCTGGCCGGGAAGAGGAGCAGCTGGGACTAGAACCGGTACCCTGACCGGGACTAGAACCCAGTGTGCCAGCGCTGCAGGGTGGAGGATTAGCCTATTGAGCTGCGGCGCTGGCCATGAACTGCGTCTTAAGGCAAGACAGCAACTCTGACACTACCTCCTACCACCCAACTGCGAAGCGACTGTGAGGGCCCCGGCTGTGAGGATCTGCCACTGCCGTCTCAGCTTCTTGGCAGTGGGCACACGACCTGGCCAGTGAGCGCATCCACACGTGTTCCCTGGTTCTCAGACCAGGGCCGAAGAGTCCATGTCTGCAGGGACTGTGATCCCAGACTCTTTAACACTTTAATCATCGCCCAAGTCAGGGCATATTTTGGCTCAAAAGTCACTTTTTTGGAAAAAAGATGAGACAAAGTTAGCACAGACGGCCTACCTATAGCCAAATCCTCGCTGAGAGTAGACAGACAGCAGTGGTGTTAATGCCCTCTGCTAAACCACTTTCCAGTGATTTGTAATTTTTTTCACTGTTTTTAGCATCGTCTGGCTGCATGGTCTATGGGAAATTGAACATGTTGGAAGGCAAAAAACAATGGGAACACAGTTGTGTGTAGAGTGCACTTACCAGTTTGTCCTTTTCTGGCAGTTGCTTCCACACCTCAGCCAGTTTTTTACTAAGTTCCCCAAAATCTGGCATGAAAGAATAAAAAGCCCGACACAGAAAGGGTTAACTACTATCAACAAAACAGAAGATTCATGGGAGCAACAATTAGCAAAAGGGTTTTGAAGAACAGATTTACACATCACAAGCTTCTTTCAGAAAATGAAAGCCAACTCCCTCACTTCTTGTCTGATTTTTCTCTATTGCAAAGGGAATGTTTTGGTGGTCACGAGGTGGGCTCCAAGCCTCCCATCTGTGGTCTCTAGGGGATTCTTCCTTAAGCATCTTTCTTTTTATTTGATTCCACAACATAAAGTCTGCCAACTTAGGTTAATGACAATATTCTATAAAGAATTTGACAAAGGACACTAGGTTTTTACTAACTTTCTGAGCAACCAGAATCAAAGAACCTTGTGACAGCCCCTCAGAAGCCGTGTGGAGCACTCCCTTGCCATTCAAGTCCCGATTTTACACTTTACAAAGCACATTCGTATGTGTGCCCCATGGCAACCTTGTGCAGTGGGTAGAGCAGCTGCTTCACACACTGGGCAAATGAGAGCTGTAGAGGTTAAGTGACTTGTCCAGGGTCTTTGGTGTAATGTTTTTCTCATCTAACTTCTAAAGGGAGACAGAGACAAATAATAAGATACAAGACATCTCACTGTACCTGCACACCCAAGGGCAGCTGTAACAGTCAGCTATAGGTTCTTGGGAATGTATGTTGATGTGCATTTATAAATGCACCGTGCTCTGTAACACTGAATGTTACAGTTTCTCACTTAGCATGTACGGACAGCTCATCTCTGTCATGAATGGTGAGCTAAGGGAAAATCCAAAAGGATTCGCAGAACTGAGCAAAGAAAGGAGATTTGTTCTACAACACTGTGGGAAAAAATCGCCTGCTGACTGCAACTGCACTGCTTCAGAAAGATGAACGCAGAGTAGAAAACTGAAGATCAGAAACGTTCTTACCTATACCTGGGTGGTCAGCCACAATGGTTACACGATACTCTTTACAGAACACCTGGTAGGCCGACATGTTCTTCTTTTTTGGCTAGTGCCACAGAGGAGACAGAACAGGGCAAGACATGATTAGAACCCAAGCTTAGTAATCCTCAATCCATGGTGACAAAACAGAAAGCATACCTAAACTTTTTTTCATCCAGGAAAGAGTTCCAAACTACTAACCATCTTTTCTAAAGAGGGTAATTTTTCCTTCATGCTACTTATAACTCAGAAATGAATCCTACTTTCACTTTTATCAAGTAAAAGTCATGTGCTAAATTATTTTTAAAATTCTCAGGTTACAGCAGCTATTCATTCTTCTATAGGCAACCCCACATTATAAATTTATTCACTTTTAAAAGATTTTTATTTATTTATTTGGAAGTCAGAGTTACAGAGAGAGAAGGAGGGAGGGAGGGAAGGAAGGAGGGAGGGGGAGAGCGAGAGCGAGCGAGCTCTTCTATCCACTCATTCACAGGGCCAGCATTACATTGTGGTGTAGCAAGTAAAGCCACCACCTGTGATGTTGGCATCCTATATGGGTGCCAGTTCATATCCTGGCTGCTCCACTTCTGATCCAGCTCCCTAATGGCCTGGGAAAAGCAGCAGAAGATGGCCCAAGTGTCTGGGCCCCTGCATTCATGAGGGAGACCCAGATGAAAGATCTTTCTCTTTCAAACAGATAAACAACATATATATATATATATAATATATATTTATATATATATTTATAATATATATATTTATATATATTATATATATATTTAAAAAGAACTAAGTGCTAAGAGAATCCACATATTCTGAAGTGTCTATTTTGTTCATCTTTGAAAACCAGAATAACTTAATTTCCTTTTAAAATTTAGGGCCCGGGACTGGCGCTGTGGTACAATGGGTTAAGCTGCTGTCTGCAGTGCCAAAATCGATATGGGTATTGGTTGGGGTCCCAGCTACTCCACTTCTGGTCCAGCTCCCTGCTAACGTGCCTGGGAGAGCAGCAGAAGATGGTCCAAGTGCTTGGGCCCCTGCACTCACATGGGAGAGCCGGATAAAGCTTCAGGCTCTTGGTTTCGGCCTGGCCCAGTCCTGGCCGTTGTGGCCATTTGGGGAATGAACCAATGGAGGGACAATCTCTCTCTCTGCCTTTCCATCTCTGTACCTCTGCCTTTCAAATAAATAAATATTTTTTTTAAAAAATTTAGAGCCAGACACCCAAGAACCAAATCCATGTCCTTTTGTTTCTGGAATTTTCATTTCTAGTTTTATAATTTCCCTGTTTCTATTTTTATTATCACTTGTAGATTATCATTACTTTACTATTCGCATTCTTCTGGTTAAAGCTGAGAAGTAAATGAATAACTGAAGACAATTCTTAGACAATCAATGTCAGATGAACTACTTTCACTTCAACAAACAGGTTTATATTACTTGAGGCCATGCTTTTCACTGTATTATGACAATGCCAAAAGCAATGCTCGATTTTTGAGAAACAAAATCAAATCTACTTAAAAGCCAGTCCAAAAGGGGATCGATCAATCAATTGATCTATCTATCTGATAAAAGATAACTATCTAGCTGATAAAAGATATTACTATTTATCTGATAAAAGATATCTATCTGATAAAAGATTATATTAGGATCTATCTACCTATCTTATAAAAGATTATATTACCATCTATCTATCTGATAAAAGATTATATTACCATCCATCTATCTGATAAAAGATTATATTACCATACATTCTAATTTGTAACTATCCATAGATCGAGGGAAAAAAGTTAAGTTTTGCTACCTAGAAGGGGGCATTAGACATTATCTGCCCAAATTTCTCATTTTGAGGATGAGAAAAAATAAACTAAGAGAAATAGGGAGTTGTCAAGAGTCCCACCACTAAGTGACTTGCAATACCACAATGACTACAACCCTGACTTCCACAAAGTCTTGACTCCCAGAGCAAGGCATTAAGAGCCAAAGAGACAAAATGTCCTTACAGATAAAGCTATTACTTAATCTTCAGAAAAGGTTACTGCTCTTTAATCAGAGATGTTGTCAGTGCCACTTTCCTCACACGCTCATCTGTAAGCAGTGATGACCAGTTAGTTCCCATCTCCGCTCGGGTTTTGTTACAATGATAGGAATCCACGGGACTTTAACCACTCCCAGGAACTTTTGCTTGCCTTGAGTCAGATTTTTTGAACAAAACCACACCAAGGAACACAGTCCTGCCACCTACCTTCAGAGTTGCACCTTGTTTTAAAGAAGCTTATTGTGCACTTTGTTTCTCTGCCTAGTTCTGACCGTTGTTTCTGTCAGCTACCTTCCAGGGACTGGTGACAATGAAAGAATTCAGTGATGGCTCTTTTACTCCAAATGGAATTCTAAAATCATTTTGAGGAATGGAAACATTCCTGTACAGCTTCCAAGGTAAATGTTTTGAACGAGATGGCACTTATTTGAAAAACTGTGGCATGCTTATTAAAAATATACCTTCAAAATTTAATATTAGTCTTTTTAAAATGGCTTATCTATATGCCTGGCATTTACTAGAGTACACAATGAAAGAATAACGTGTGAGGGCCGGCGCTGCGGCTCACTAGGCTAATCCTCCGCCTAGCGGCGCCGGCACACCGGGTTCTAGTCCCGGTCAGGGTGCCGGATTCTGTCCCGGTTGCCCCTCTTCCAGGCCAGCCCTCTGCTGTGGCCAGGGAGTGCAGTGGAGGATGGCCCAAGTGCTTGGGCCCTGCACCCCATGGGAGACCAGGAAAAGCACCTGGCTCCTGGCTCCTGCCATCGGATCTGCGCGGTGCGCCGGCCGCAGCACGCCAGCCGCGGCGGCCATTGGAGGGCGAACCAACGGCAAAAGGAAGACCTTTCTCTCTCTCTCTCTCTCTCTCTCTCTCTCACTATCCACTCTGCCTGTCTAAAAAAAAAGAAAGAAAGAAAGAAAGAAAGAAAGAAAGAAAGAAAGAAAGAAAGAAAGAAAGAAAGAAAGAAGGAAAGAAGGAAAGAAGGAAAGAAAGAAAGAAAGAAGGAAAGAAGGAAAGAAGGAAAGAAAGAAAGAAAAACGTGTGGAAGTCTATACATCGTCCAGTTTTTCCCAACTGCAGAATCGATCGACAGCATTAGAAAGAATATGTGCTTGACAGCTTTCACAGTTCATCTAGCCACATCATAAAACTTGCAAGGAAGGCATTTTAACAATGTTTTCGCAAACACAATATAGTCAAAGGTTAATGGTCCCTATTCCACAAAGCTGTCTACAGCTGAAAACATAAAATTAAAATGACGTGTATAAAATTATTAATACTTCTTGGCCAATATAGCAGTTCCAAACTCACACAATGAAGAAAGGGGCCCCTTATAACTCTTACAAAGGACTTTATTCAAATGTATAGGAAATAAACCAGCATTAGCTGAGTAACTTTACTGGGTGGTGGTATTATAAGTAACTATGAAGATCTTATTTTTTTGGGAGAACATAAAATAGTAGAAAACACATAAATTCAAAGTTTAAAGGGCCACCATTTTGTCCCAACTAACCCATATACTGATTATTTGATACTGGATAAAACACACGAGAAGCAGATAGCTTTTCTAACATTTTATACTAAAAATATTTCAGTGGCCAAGAAGGAACAGTAGAGACTAAAAAGAAGGAAAGATTTCAAGGGTAACAGAAAAAAAAAAAAAAAAAGCCCCTTACTAAATAAAGTGCTCTGGCATTCGTCTGTTAACAAGTATCCACTGACTGTCCACTACGGCAGACAGTGGGAACACAGCTGAGTCAGACCTGTGATCTCACAGATATGGCAGATCAATACATCATGATAAAATGCACTGCTATTACAGGGAAAGTACTGGGTGCCACGGCAACAGATAACAGGAGTGCCTCACCCTATCAGGGAGGAAGTGACGACGAATCTCCACCTGAAAGGTGGGGAGGAGCAGGCAGATGGAGAGAGGTGAAGGGTATTAGAGGCACAGGGGATGAAGAAGAAGAGAGGTAAGAGATGATGTTAGAGAAGCAGGCAGGACCCATAAACATAGGCCCCGTATAACTTTAGAGCCAGACTGTGGAAGGAACAGCATTCTCAGTGGGAAGTTACACAGGGAGAACTGCTCTTTAGGGCTGCAGAGAGCAGTCTAGTGGAAGACCACCCAGGAAGCTGCTGCAGGAGTGCTGGGCAGGGGATGCCAGCCTGCAGCCAAGACAGCTGCTAGAGAAAAGTAAAGATTGGAAGGCAGAGAAGTGGCCTACCTGTCGGAAACAATGTGGCAGAATGGAAGCGCCTGGCCTTTGGAGAGCAACAGAGCTGGGTTAGAACCCTGATCATACTAATTACAACTGCCACACTTCTGGGAAGCTTAGTTTCACTCCAAGTTAGACTGGGGTAAGACCACTTAACAGGAGGGTAGAAATTAATCAAATTGTGTCTGGCAGTACAAATGATGTTATTTTAGTGGTCGGCAAAGTTCAAGACGGCCGCCAAGATTTCTGGTCCCTGGGAACACGTCCTTTGAGTTGCTCTCCCCTTAACTGTGGGCAAGCCTGGTGACCATGATGAGTTATCAGTCCCAGGATTGTATTAGATGGCAAAGGGGACTTTGCAGATGTTGAATTAATCAAAAGGTGAGACAAGAAGCAGGGCTGGCACTGTGCTATAGCAGGTGAGCTGCTGTCAGCATCCCCTCAGATGGCCAGTTTTGATCCACCTCCCAGCTAACGCAGCTGGGAAAGCAGCAGATGATGGCCCAATCACTTGGGTTCTAGCCACCCATGTGGGAAACCCAGATGGAGTTCCAGGCTCTTGCCTTCAGCCTGGACTGGTCCCACCCACTGCAGCCATTTGGGGAGTGAACCAGTGGATGGAAGATCCTTTTCTGTTTCCCCCTCTGTCATTCAGCCATTCAAATAAATAAATCTTTTTTAAAAAGAGACAAGAAGTTCAGTAAAAGTTATTTTTTAGATACCAATAAATCTATTCTAAAGTATATTTGGACAGGCAAAAGACCCAGAAGAACCAACATGGTACTGAAGAGGTAACAAGGTGG